AGCCTTTTTTCCCTGTCTTCTCAACCTCATTGTACCCTTCAGGAATAGAGCTTCATGGTCCAAGCTTTGGAAAACATGTTTGTTCTCTGTCACTACTTGCCCCTGACCTACACCTTGACCACCAAAGTTTCACAGCCCAAAGCTGTTGTCCTCAGGCTCACTATGCCTTCTCTAGTGAACACAGTAGCACCTGGCTAAGGTGTTCAGGAAATACCTGAAACTGAGAGAGTGAATGACTAGAAAGAAGGTAGTGATTCCCTCCTGTCAGAGTTCTCTTCTTTCCTCCTTTCCACTGGAGTCTTTGAAGAATGATCCTTTCATTTCAACCCCAAATTACTCCATGTGTGTCTGTTCCATATCAGACATTGTGCCAAGCAGAGGGGACACAAGAAAGATTAGTCTAGTGACTGTCACCACTGACTCTGGCAGAGAGAGCCTTAGTCTGGGCTGGAAGTGAGGGCAGTATCATGGCAGGCTGAAGAAGGAGATGTTTTTGAGCAGGACAGGCTTGAAGTTGCTTTTAAATTGCATGGCAAAGTCTACCTCTTTGGCTCAGGACCAGTTTACTTCTACAGGAGACACAGGGGTGAGAAGGATACAAATAAATGTCCAAGCATCTCTAAAGAAATGAAGAAGCTTATGAAGAAGGGTTAAGATAAAGTTTAAAGATGATTCCTAGTGAATACTCAAAACTGCTTGAGTCTTTTGATAGATACTGGGAGAGCTTGGATTTGGAAGCAGAAAGTGACAGGTGGTACCTTGAGTTGGCCTTGGTTCCTATCTGTGGTTCACATTAATGAGACCCCAGTGAATTGGAAGCAAACCTCATGCTGCAGAGTCTCAGTGCTGCGCAACTGTGGTTTCTGTCCGCAGATCCATGGAGTGGCAGGAACAGGAAATGGGGATTCTTTTAGTGATGTCCCTTGGCAGATTAGATCACTTTTCCAAAGCTCTGTCTTTTCTCTCTAAGGTGAAAGGGTTGGACAAGGTGATAACTTAGTCCCCTTTTAGTCCTAACAGTAACAGATCTTAATGTAGACACTAAGGGAATAATGAAATTTGTAGGATGAGAATAGAAATCTTGATTTATTACTTATGGACATTTAAAGAAATATCATCATTACGTAATCTTTGTTTTTACCTGCTCTCAAAACAATAATTGTAATTTTCCTCCTTAAACATGATAATTCTCATGGTACTGGAGCTTTTTTCTCTAACATACAAATGTTTAATTTTATTGTGGTTGTATAAAAAGACTTAAAAGAAAGATTGATAACATCAAAAATGCAAAAAACCTAACAAAAACCCTTTACCTCAGAAAGTGATTCACATTTCATAATTCTGATTATTGCATTTTAAACTAAGTGGCTAAATATTTACAAACTAAACAGATTATGAATATTTACCTTGGAATTCATCAAGTCAGTCCACACCCTGTGGAATAATTACAGAGGTACTCTTCCTGCTCAGACTTGAGCTTGCCATGTTATTTGTATACTTTTGCTTGTGGCGAACTTATAGTTATTTTTTCACATAATCCCCTTTTTCCTTCTTTACTTTAAAAAATATTCAAATAACATTTTTTATTTTATACATACATATATGTTTAAAGATTTTCCTTTTTAACTAAAAATAGAAATCTAAAATGCCTTGGGGGAAATAACCAAGCAACACTTGATGGGAATTACTACCTGCAGTTTTGGGGCAATTTTCTCTGAATCAAATCATCCAGACCATCCACACTTTAATCTGAATCTTTTATTCACTCCTGACATAGTAATATTCTTAAGATGACAAAACATGATAGTAATGTTTGAACCAAAGAAAAATGTCACATTCTGTTCTGAACCCACTTAGAATTATAATATTACAGTATTAGGGCATAGAAAAATGCAAGTAATTTAAACATATCTTTTCCTCTATTGTTTTGAGGGCAAAAAAGCTAGTGTTGCTTTTAGGCATCTCTCCCTTCCCTTTTACATAAAGAATCTCTAGCAAATAATACTTTCCAAATTGATTAGATAAATAGATATAGATATGTATATATAAATGCTATCAAGTCATTAAGAAATATTTTAAATAAGTGTTAAAAATTTTGATTTACTTTCATTTAAAAAATGCTCAGAATATATTTCTTGAATAACGTCCTTTTGTAGATGTCATGCTGCAGCTTGAAAATAAGCTGTAACAAGCACTAAATAAATGTACCATCTGCTTATTCCTACCCCATTTTCTGTTAGTGAGATAGATGCTTGTGTGGCTAAATAAAGCAGTTGTATATAACTATTTTTAGTACATTGATTTATTATACATGCTAAGAGGCCAAATTAAACACATACGCACACACACTTCATACCACACAGGAGCAACTCCCACCTTGCTTTGCAGATCAAATTTAACCAAACAGTTGCCACAAACCACTTTGTGGTTTCTGCCCTCTGCTGGTGCATAGTAGAAATACAAGCCTTAACATTTTTGGACCTTTTGGTAGAAAATTTCTGATGACCTCTTTCGCTTTGTTTCCAGAGCCCCCTCGCTGGACAAAGAAACCTCAGAGTGGCGTGTATAGCACCGGCAGCAGTGGAATCCTGTTATGTGAAGCAGAAGGAGAGCCTCAACCCACAATCAAGTGGAGAGTCAATGGCTCCCCTATTGACAGTGAGTTAAAAACCAATTGTAATGCAATGCTGGAGGCAGTGCTTTGGGGGGATAGATAATGGTCAGGTTATGTGAAACAGAGTTAGCAAGTGGCTAGATCAGCAGGACAGATCTAACCAGGGTATCAGAAATTGCCTCTTTCTAAGCAATTCAGTTGTTGAGACCTAATCCTCATGGAAGAGCCATAAATAATGTTTTTACTGCGTAGGTCATTGCTTAATTAAATATAAAAATAAAAATTTTTTTAAAAAGCAACTGAATGAGAAAGAGGATGCATTCAAAGAGGAAAGCCAACTGTTGTTCATCTCCCTGAGAAGAAATGCATACAGTGACCTAGTGGTTGAGAGCACAGTTTGGAAGTCACAACCTGCCTTAGACCCAGGGGAAGGCAACTCCCATTCTGGTCTCTGACCTTCACAGGGACCTGCTCTGGCCATCCTCTGGTCATGCTTATTTGCATGATTGGAAAAATCCACAGGTACAAGGGGACATGCCAAGCCTGAACCTGTGCCAGTTACCCCTGGCTCCCTGCTGGTTCTTGACCAAGCTCCAGTCCCAAGAGCTGAAAACTCCCTTATCCAGTCAGCTCCGAGACGTGTTCAGACGGGCTGGGTATGCAAAGCAGGATAAACCAGCATTGAGGGCCTACTGTCCTCACTCCACCACGCTCCAGCATAGATAGCGAGCAGTCCCCCAATCCTCAGTTTGCACCTGGGGCTCAGGTCATTTCAAATGTATTTGTCCAGTCAGGGGAACAGAGCATACTTTTTGTGTCAATTGATTAGCTGGATTGAGAGTGGGTAAAATATTGAGATATATGCATGTGGCTTTCACTTGTGCTTTTGCCTGGGCCCACACACGTCAAGGGTGGGGCTTCTGGTGGTCCACAGACCTGGAGTGCTCTCTGGGCTGTCTCTTCCTAGCTGTTTGGTCTTGAGCTGTTTACTGCATCTCCCCAAGCTTAAGTTTTTTAAACTGCAAAATGGAGATGATGGTAGTTGATTGTGATTGAATGAGATAAATCTGGTCAACCACACAGGGTAGTGATTTATTTGTAGAGAATCGTGGTAGTTTATCAACTCCGGAGCCAGACTGTCTGTGTTTGCATGCCAGTCTACCATTTGCTAGCTGCATGACGGCGAGTATTACTGACCCTCTTAAAACCTGCTCCCTCATCAGTAAAATGGGGATCAAAACAGGACTGACTCATGTTGTTATGTGGATTAATAGAAACACTGTATAAAGAATGCTTAGCACAGGGATTGCCAAACAAACGGCACTCCCAAAATATTGTTTATTGTTATTGTTTGCACATGGCAAGCTCTCAGGAACCCTTAGTCTTCATTATTATCTTCAAATTTGAGACTTTTTCTTCATCTCTTTAGAAAACATAGTAAGAAATGAAAAAATATGAGGATTTGGGTAGACCGAAGAGAAGTGAAAGCAACTCTTGTTTATAAAGAAAGTTAAGTTTGCTAAAATAAGGAATGCAGATTTTATGTTCTCTGGAACAGAAAGTCATAACATTTCATATTTGAATGGTATTTGGCTGTTTCTGAAAAGCATTTCCAAATTACTTAGAATCCCCCAAAAGAACCTTATAAAGGAGGTACTATTATTTATATTTAACAGATTCATTCAGTATTGAGCACCTCCTATGTGCTGGGCACTGGGCTTATTGCTTGGGGCATAGCAGTGAGTAAAGTGGACAGAATCCCTGCTCTCCTGGATGGGACATTCTAGTGGGGAGAGACGGTCAATAGATAAACCCGTGAGTGTGCGCTGCAGAGTGGTAGGGTAAGGGGAGCGTGTAACTGAGGGTTGCTGTGGTGTTTGAAGATAGTAATAGTAGGTCCCTCTGGTAATTCACCTTTGAGTGGAGACCCAAAGGAGAGGAGGAAGTCAGCCTTGTGAATATCTGTGAAAGTGCTTTCAGGGTGGAGAAGTCAGTGAGTGCAAAGACCCCAAGGTGTGTTTGTTGTGTTGGGGAAAAGGTCGTGTGGCTGCAGCTGAGTGAAGAGAGGGCAGTGCTAGGTGACAAGATCAGCCAGGAGGTGAAGGGGCCAGAGCACAGGTAAAGGTGAAAACCCAAGTAGGGGCTTGGGATTTTACTGAAAATATGCTGGACAGCTCGTGGAGGGCAGAAGAGTGACATGATCTACTTTACATTTTAAGAAGGGATTTTCTGGCCTCTGATGGAGACTCAGCTGTATGACCTCTGTTAAGAGGCTGCCTGAAAGAAGCTGAGGGTGGGGCTGGATTGGTAGTACTGGTGCTTAGGTCCTGGATTTATTCCCAAAGTACAGCCAACAGGTTTGTTGATGGATGAGGAAGTAAAGGCTGAAGATAAACTTATGCACGACGGCACAGCTGAATTATGGCAGACCTAGAACCAAAGCCACGCCATTGGAACCCAAGCCCAGGGTTCTTTCCCCAGCTCTTGACCACGGCTCTCCTTGCTTTTCTGCAAATGGGTCATGAACCTTCATAGCTTGGCATGTTTGATGACAGTGGGTTGGCAAAAGGATTTGAAATCTCTTTGAGCTTATAATTTAAGGCATTACGTATCCTTTCTCTGCATTATTTCAATATTAAATCAGAATGATTACTGTTATTGATTACAGGCCTAACCTTTCTCACTTGCTTTGCATCCAATATTTCTGAGCCTTATAGCAGCCTTGAAAAGTAGATTTCATTATTCTCCAGTTTGCAGAGGAGGCAACTGAGGCTCAGAGAGGTTACATTACTTACTTGAGGACCCAACCCAAGTACATTTAGAGCTAGAAATGGATCCCAGAAATGGTTAAGTCCAGAGCTGCAGTTTCTCCTACTGTATTTCATTATTTCTCATTGAACTGACCAAAGACAAAACTGACAAGGAATTTCTGAATTATGTCAAGACTAGTGTGTTTTGTTTGATATTACAAAGACTTGGCTTTCTTGAATCCCAGGAGCTCCTGCTAATCTTTGCCAATGTGCAGCAATACTCTGCCATTTCCATATTCATCCCAGAAGACAGATTTGAACAATGTTTATTTGTTTTTCATCTCAAACTTGAGGCCATGGTCTCATTTTTTCCTTTTGCAATGCTGTGTTGATTCAGAGCTGCCCATGGGTCGGATGGTAAAAGGAAAACTAAAGGGGTTGTCGTTAACTCTGAAAGGCTTAGAACTCTGGGTGTGTTGTGTGGGAGTGAAGAATCTGATCAGAGACTCAGTCCTTTGCCACATTCTTTAAGAGTTCAGCCTTACCTTGCTCATTTTGCTGATTATCAAGAGATACGTGATAAATTAGGATGGCTATAACGAACTACCAGAGACTTATTGGATTACAACAGTGCAGATCTACTGTTTTGCAATTTTGCAGGTTAGAATTCGAACACAAGTCTTGCTGAGCTAAAATCCAAGTGTCAGCAGGACTGTGTTCTCTTCTGGAGGCACTAGGAGAGAACCGCTTCTTTTCCTTCCCTGGCTTCTAGAGTCTGCCCACATTCCTTGGTCCATGGCTCCCTTCGACCTTCAAAGCCAGCAGGATTGCATCTCTCTGACCCTGATTCCATAGTCATACCCTCCTCTGGCCACAGCCAGAAAGGGTTTTGTATTTTTAAGGAGGCTTTTAATTACACTAGGTCCACCTGGATAATCCAAGATAATTCCCCCATCTCAAGGTCTTTAACCTTAATCACATCTGCAAAGTTTCTTTTTCAGGTAAGGTCACATACTCACAAATTCTAGGGATTAGAACGTGGACATCTCTCAGGGGCTGTTGTTCTGACTATGTATAGGAGGCTTTCAGGAATAAAACCCCACACAATGTAACTTATTCAGTCATTCCAACAAATACCTACTAATTCCCCCCTGTGTGACAGCTCTTCTTCAGGCACCAGGACCCACTGCACAACCATACAGACAAGACCCTGCCCTCATGGAGCTCACAGTCAAGTGAAAAAAATATATTTGTTTATGATTCCCCATAGGAAAAAGATGTATAAGAAAAGTCTTCTATTTGAATATGTAATATTCAATGTTTCCTGTCACTTAAAACTTAGTATAATTATTATTTTGTAAAATGGAGATGGAATCAGAAAACAGAAATTAGATTAATTGCTAATCTTATCATTTCTTTTAAAAGAAAAATTTTAACATCTTTGCCCCTCATTTGAAATTCCTAGTTTATATGCTTTCCTTTATGCTGCTTTATTGTAGTGTCATAGCCAAGGCATGGGGTGTAAGTCAGAAATGTCGCCAGATGCAGTGGGATATGTCAGTCACCTTCTCTGAAATCCAGAGAAGATTCTCTGAATCTGTCACTTCTAAAATGGCCACATAATTGCTGATCTGTCAGTTTCTGAGTAGAGTCAATGAGATACGCATGTGCCACATCTAGTAGAGTTCTTTAGCCCATAATAAATGGACCAGGAATGTTAGATATTCTCATTTCCAAAAGCTATTTCCAGAATTATACTTGGATCAGGAGTGAGGTAGGTTTTATTGCCAAAGTAGGAAACCTGGTTTGTGCTCTCAAAGAGAGTTTAGTCTTATTGGGAAAATGAAATGCACAAGCTATGAACCTGAAGTGGTTAAATAGTGAAGCAAGATAAATGAAATGGATGGTGTAGATCGGGAAATTGCAGAAGGGCAGAGAAGTGAGACAGGCTCAAAGGCATGAAGGGAGAAAACAGCAGCCAACGCTGGTGCATTGGGGGGACCACTATGTGTTGACCATATAATTTGTGCTGGGCAGTATCTGGACTTTAAATTCTGAAGAGTCAGTGTGGGTCAGTTCACAGCAGGACTGAATGACAAGCAGATCATCTGGAATCTTACTTATGGCTCTGGGTATTGAGAGCCAGTGAGCTGGAGAATAACAGATATTTTGACAATAATAATTAATTTGATGGAAGATTGAAAATTCAAAAAGATCTGGAGAGAATAATCCACGGTTGTTGTTAAGAAAGTCTAAAGAGTTGGCCTCGATGAACTATTATTCACCTCTAAACTGGTCTTAAAATATAAATACTGTGTGACACATTTAATAAATGGTGTATAAATATTTTATGTCCTACTCTTTATCAAATTGACATTCTTTAATCTCTTTCAGATCATCCATTTGCTGGTGATGTTGTCTTCCCCAGGGAAATCAGTTTTACCAACCTACAACCAAATCATACTGCTGTGTACCAGTGCGAAGCCTCAAATGTCCATGGAACGATCCTTGCCAGTGCCAATATTGATGTTGTAGGTAAGCACACCTGAGAGTGGCCTTATCCTGCTGTTTTCTGAAGGAAATGGTTAAGGTCATGTTCACAAGTACTGACTGAAATTTTGACACCTAAAACATAGGAAAAAAATCAAAGCACATTTCACCTTATATTTGGGCACTATACTTCATACTAAAATTACACTTTCAGAAATGTACTGAATTTGGATACTTTTCTAATTCAAGAATATGTACGGTAATATTCAGCTGCTTTTCATTTTTATTAATTAGCTAGGACATAGAAAAATTTAATTGGCACATATTTCTTACATGAAAGTTTAAAGCTGTATTTATGTTATTTTCAAATAGATGTTCGTCCACTGATACAGACTAAAGATGAAGAAAATTATGCTACCGTGGTCGGGTACAGTGCTTTCTTAGATTGCAAGTTCTTTGCTTCACCCGAGGCGATAGTGTCCTGGTAAGCTAGCACACGATTTTCTTAAGAAATGTCCGTTGTAGATTTCGCCTTATTTCTTCATCCATCATTTGACAGGCATCATTGTGTCTACATGTACTCAATGCCTCTGAGAAATAAGAGAACAAACTTAATTACCTCTCCTGAAAACATTGGCTAGGTTTCTAGAATTTTCTCATATGGGGAAATATATAAAGCCATATATTTCTTTATGTGTTCATAAAGAAAAGCAAAGAATTGAAGTGATTACTAAGACAATTTTATAGGTAGAATTGGTTTTTCATTTTGGAGATTTCTGAAGGTAACATTTTACTTTATTGTTGCTGTTTGGGGATTGCCTAAATAATTATCTAAGCCTGCTTTTAATTCCAAACGCATATGCTTATGACTTTTCTAACATTCATTTTGATTTTAATTTCAATGTATTAATTGGTATCATAAACACAAAGACATTGTCAGATGGATCTACCATATTAATTACTTTACTGAGAAAACTTGGTTAAATTGTTCTTAAATAAGTTTGTCCTTGCTGTGCAGGGACAGGATGAGACGACTGAGCCCCGTTCACACTAGTGTAAGGCCCGATCCTGTCTTTATTAAAAATTTGTGATATTTTGTTCATCATGACTTTTTTTGCATTGCTTTTTTATTTTAAAAACCACTCTATCAAATTATTATTCATCTTGATTACTAAGATGTTTGGCACCCTTTTAAATTTTGCATCTGAGGCAAGCCCCTCACGCATCTCAGCCTAGTCCCTGCCCTGAAAAATCCTGTGTGAACAGTAGCTACTGTTTATCCTTTGGATTTTTTAGCTCATGCAGTCACTTGAAATGTACAGGGTAAATCAAGCTGTGGCAGCAAATGCTTGGAAAATGGATGAATGTAGGAGAAAATGACCCTGGGGTTGATAAGGTAAATGTAATGCGTGTCCACAGGACAGGCAAGACGTCCTGGCTTATAATATTTCTGAATGACCAATGTTCTCTCAGGACAGCAGGAGGTTTGGAAGGTTCATTATCTCTTTCAATTACTAGCTTTCCCATTTAGTACCCTGGAGCAACCATTAACTAAAGAGGTCACCATCAATAAGCCAGAAAATATTAAGCTCTAAGGACAGATGCAAAATGGTGCTGATTGCTGTGAGAAATACAAAAGAAGCATAGAGCAGGGACTTGGATTTCCACTAGCCACAGTCTGTTTGGGCAGATGAGATGTGCATCCATGACTGATTTGGAGAAAAGTGTAAAATCTAATGAAACATTTCATAAGGTCAGCTAAGCTTCTGAAGAAGGGATTAGCTTGAATGATATCAGCAACTAATACTGAAAATATGCAATTCTGTCACAGCCCAAATTGATTTATGCCTTCTATGTCTACAGGCAGAAGGTGGAAGAAGCAAAGCCCCTTGAAGGCAAGCGGTACCATATCCACGAAAACGGCACATTACAGATCAACAGAACCACTGAAGAAGATGCTGGGTCGTACTCCTGTTGGGTAGAAAATGCTATAGGAAAAACTGCAGTCACAGCTAATTTGGATATTAGAAGTATGTTTGTTTCACTGTTACTTTGCATGAATTCTTGCATGGTTCGGTCTGTCTTCATTTTCCCAAATGGAACATTACAGTTTCAGTTTGATCACCTGTTTAAAATTCTTTAGACCATTTTACAACACTCCTGGATTGTGTTTTATCTTTCATCTAAAAGAATTACAGGGTGTGCCACTGACGTGCTCATAGCTTCACACAATTTTAAGAGAGAGCTAGATGTCCTTAGTGATGGATGACAGGCAATATTTTAAAATTCCCTATTTTGGTGTATTTCTATATTTTATTTCAAAAGCCAATTCAAGGTAATGTTACTGGTAAGCAAGTCTTTGAGCTAAAAATGTCATTAAGTCAAAAAAAGTTTAGCTTCATAAAGACTGAGGCATGACAGAATGAGGAGATTTTTTTGATCTCATTATGAATCATTCTTTTTATATTATTTCTCTCTTTGGGACAAAGTCCTGGAAGCCATTAATAGTTTTTTGGGCTTCACTGATATTACTCAGAGAATTCTTTTTGGGAAAGAAACAAGAATGGAGTGGTCTTGCAGTAATAGTGGGAGGATTTGTATTTCTTGGGTCATGTCAATATCATGACTTGCTACCTACCTCTGCTTAGCTGAGAGGCACATATTTCACCATCTGTTTTCACTGTTACCTTGATATTTCTTTCTCTCTCTTTCCATATACTCCTTCCTTCCTTCCTTCCTTCCTTCCTTCCTTCCTTCCTTCCTTCCTTCCTTCCTTCCTTCCTTCCTTCCTTCCTTTCCTGTCTTATACCCTTTTAATATTTTCTAGTATTTTCTCTTTCTGTATCCTAAGTTATTTAACACGCCAACCTCATGGACTGTATTTTTAAAGCACATAAATATTCTCCCACATTTTCTAGTAATCTCTGATGTCTTCCTGCATTTTCAAGTGTTATGTACAATTTTCAACATGCCCCTTTAAAGTCAATGAAAATGATTGTTTTTATACTTGAAAAAGTAAACCTATATCAAAGTTAAGCAACTCAGCTAGGTTGAGTCCAAGAGAGTGAAGCCTGGAATCTAAATAAACCTTTTCATTGCTATTGCCCAACACAGTTCTCAGCCCAAAGTGGACCTCAAAACTTCTAGTGGCCAGAGAGATGGACAAGTTCATCAATACATTCTAAACAAACTATCAATACATTCTAAAGTCCCTTTTACATGTAAGGAATATATTCAAATCATATCAATGAAGAAATAAAGACAGAATTTTTGTATATAAAGTCTTCAAAAAGTTCATGGAAATATTAGTATTATCTTTCAATTGTGCTTTTCCATGAGTGTTTTGAAGTACCCTCATATAAAAAAGGAACATTGAGAATGGAGGTAAAAGGTTGTGTAGTACAGTGATTGAAAGTGTGAGCTTTGGTCTCAGCCAGATTGGAGTTCAAATCCTTGCTCAGCCCCTTACCAGTTAGGAAATCTTGGTTTCATCACTTAATTTCATTTTAGCCTTAAGTTGTCTTCTCTGTAAGGTGGGAATATTAATATTCATAGAGTCGTTGTAATTATAAAATGCCACGGTGAACTTCTTAGCAGAGTCTTGGTAAATAGAGTAAGTGCTTATTAAATGGTATCTATTATTATTAGATGGATTTCTCCATTAGAGGAGAAATTTAGAATTAGAAGTAGCATGTTTAGTAACTCACTTAAAATTAATTCAGTTTAATAATCTCTTTAAGTTTCATGCCTTAAATACCAAATAATCAATTTTATTAAAGCTTTTAAGTTTTTAATCAGCTTCTCGAGAAACATGTGGATAGCAAGTATTAGAGTATAATTGTGGAATTGGAGGTCAGCTCATGAAATTTGGTCTCTGAGAGTGTCTCAGAGTGCCAAGTGCCACATTAGAAGTATTTCTACCTTTAACATAGGCCTTTGAGGTTAAGGATTGTATGTTTTCAAACAATCATAACAAAGCAAGCATTTTTAAAGACAGCCACAGTACTGATCTTTTTTTTTTTTTTTTTTTTTTTTTTACAATTAGGGGGTTT